GGCCCGGGAGACGCCGGCGGCCCGAGAGCGCGAGCGCGGGGACGAGCGAGCCCGCTCCCGGCGGCGGCGGCGACGACGGCAGAGGGGACGACTAAGCCGGCGCCCGGAGTTGCGGCTCCAGCGTCCCGGCGCGGGCGGCGCCTTCCCAGCCGAATCGCGGCGCCGAGAATACGGACGCCCCCTATCGGCTGCGCGGGCTGGAGGCCAAGGAGCCGGACCGTCGCGGGAACTCAGGGCGCAGCCTACTCGGTGCGGTCAGGCAGGCTTCGCTGCAGTCCCGAAGCCCCGCCCCGAGCCCCGACGGAGCCCCGCCCCTCCCATGACTCCTCGAAGCCCCGCCCCCGATCACCCACCGAAACTCCGCCCAGACCCCGCCCTTCCTCCCCGCCTCCTCGTACCCGCCGGGGTCCTCCCAGCCACCGGCGCTGGGTGCCTGAGTCTCTACAGCTGTTTCCTCAACTTTAGTATGACTCCATCCTGTGCGAGGTTGGAGAATACAGCAGCCACCAAGACAGAAGCGAGCCCCAAGACTCAAGAAAACAACTAGTAGACAAAATAATGACAAGTTCCGATATGGTTAGGAGAGGTCCACTGAGAAGGCTGCGGATGGAGAATAAGGGAAGGGGGTTCCTTCTTCAGACGTGGGTATCCCTGTGGCTAGAACCCCTCCCGCCTTGCTGTTCGGGACGCCGTCCTATGAGGGGCCACCTATCCCGCCTGATGGGTAGCCATCAACAAAGGGCAGTCAGACAGGGAGAAGGGCAGATGTGCAAACACCCTGAGGCTCCATGGAGCTCAGCCTAGATGAGGCTGGCGGGGGTACTGTCTCCACCCCAGGAAAGAGGTCCAAGACTGCAGAGCTAACTGGTCTCCATGCACAGACCAGTTCCAAGTGGTATTCACTTGTAGCTAGCCAGATCATGATCCACTTCCACAACCAATAGCCTTAGAAACCTGGATTTCACGTGTCCATGTTAGTGAGGTCGTTCTGGATTCTAAAGTCTATGAACTAACTGATCATCACAGTCATATCTGATATTTGATTTTCTCTGAAAACACAATTTGATAGGTGAAATACGTTAATGTGTTTACCAAAACTAGGTGAGGATACAGGGAAATGTGTGTGTGAAAATAATCAGTACA